TGTGTGTGAGTGTCTGTGTGTGTGTCAGAGTGTCTGTGTGTCTGTGTGTGTGTGAGTGTCTGTGTGTGTGTCTGTGAGTGTCTGTGTGTGTGTTCAGTGGCTCCAGACAGGAAGTAGGAGTGAAGGCGCCGTCTTGCAGCACAATAACAAGATTAATGTTGTAATGTCAGACAGACGACAGACAGTCTGCTGTTAGTGCCCCCTACAGGCCCCAAATTACTTTACGCTAACATCTGAGTAAATGAGTGAATAGTTAGCTTAGCATTAGCATTGCCCTCTCATTATAAACTGTATGGATGCTATCTGTGTGCAACAAGAAACATTTAACCTCTAAAACTTTTTGGAAGTTATCCTAACTTCCTGTTTACATCGTCATTTGATAATTCCCGCCTTTTTTGGAACCTCGTCCAACTTCCTCCTTTCTGTACTTAGATATGCTACATGCTAAGCTAATCTATGTTGAAAAGATGTTTAAAAGATAAAAGAGACGTATATATATATTTATGGTGCGTTCAATCGGAACAGAACATCAACCTCAAAATCCCAAATGGCGGATCCAAGTGTCAACTGCTGCAAGCTGTATTAATATTCACACAGTACTGTCCGACTTCTGTCTTCATTCGCTTCATGTTTGTATGAGAAAAATAAAGCGAATGCGTCGTTATCAACTGGTATTGCTAACAATGGCTAAAGGTTGGTTTTCTGAGCTAAATGGACAAAGGCTAGCACATATCTAAGTACAGTAAAGGAGGAAGTTGAGCGAGGCTTCCTCAACTGTTATTGGAGCACAGAGCAAGAAAGGGGCGGGGCTTAGGAAGGGTCAAATGTCAAAATTACTGTTTCTTACTAATTTTATTAATAATAATATTTGGGATGTCACGTCAAATGCTGACGGCAAAGATACGTCAGTGAAGACCGCCAGCTAACAGCTAACAGCTAACACCATGTAATGTAATGGAAAAACAGCATTAACCAGCTAACATGCACGTAGCCCTGGTTGGTTCTTTCAGTCTCTTACATGAGGGTAGAACTCCATCAGGATCAGGAACTCGGGTCGTCCGTCCGCCGTTGTCCTCTCGTCGGCGGTCAGGAAGCGGGCGATGTTGTCGTGTTGCTGCAGCAGTGGCAGACAGTAGATGGAGCGCTCGTTGGCGTAGTTCTGCCGGTTGGCCGAGCTGAAGAGTTTGACAGCAACGCAGCGCTCGTTAAGGCAGCCGCGAAACACCGTGCCGTAACGACCCCGACCAATCAGCTGCCGGGAGGAAGGAGAGGGTCGTTAGAGATGGACACGTGGCGTTCCTCAGGGCTCAACCTGAGATCCTCTAACATTGTTATGTTTATACGCTCTAACAATGAGAATTTAACTTTGTAATTAACTGTCGTGGTTTTAATGGTCCCGGCTCCTCTTAAAGGGACAGTCCACCAATATCACACAGACTCCATCTACCTGCCTTTGATTTGGGTCGTACTTAAGTTGTGAAATCTGTTATATAAAGTCTTCTTTGTGTGTGTGTGTGTGTGTGTGTGTGTGCGTGTGTACCTCCAGTAGTTTCAGGTTATCCAGGTCGACAGCAGTGTCTGTGTTTGCTGCCTCCAAAACATCCAGAGCTGACAGACTGTGTTTCTGCTTCTTCCCTTAAAACACAAACAAAGGTATGAATGATTATTATCATTATTATTATTGTTGTTGTGGTTATTATCATTATTATCATTATTATTATTATTATTACTGAGCACCTCTCATCATGCGGTATCCCAGGAACAACGCTATGATGACAATGGCTGCTATGGCGACGGTTACCAGGGCGATGAGCACCGTCTCCTCCCGCCGCAGCGCCGGGTGAGCTGTGGGATAATGCCATCGTTAATATCACTGTCATCATACTGCCTCCTCCTCCTCCGTACGTTCAGCTGTTTATTGTTGTTGTTGTTACTGGTGCTAATGTAAACAAACAAACAAAGCAGCAGGTGTCGGTCTCAGACTGTGTGGGCGTCTCCACCGGCTGTTCAGCAGCACGAAGCGTTAAAGAGCCGATCAGAAGGTGATCAATAACCTAAACAATGATAACCTGTCACTATGACCTCAGCACTGTGGCCTGTGATTGGTCGGTACAGAGTGACCCGCTCACCTGTCTGTCCGTCGTCCCGCCCATCTGTCTTCATCGGCCTCAGGGCGGGGGTGTCTGCGGTGGGCGGGGGCTCGGTGAAGTTGGCGTTGCAGAGGTTTTGGCTGCAGCAGCAGAAGCGGTAGCTGCCGTTCTGGATCTGAGACGGCGTCGCTGTTACCAGGCAACGGTCGCCACGACACTCCTGCTGGCTGCCGGTGTAAGTCCAGCAACCTGGAGGACAGAAGAGGACGAGGTTTGATCCGGTTCAGATTCAGACCACGAGCGAGTGTGTGTGTGTGTGAGTGTGTGTGTGTGAGTGTCTCACCTTGTTTGACCAGGTGTGTTTCCCCGTCTGGTCTCTTTTCCCACAATCCATAGCAGCGGGAGCCACGGATGCAGCGAACCGTGCCGTTTTCTCGCACCACTCCTCGCAGCTCATTGGCGGGTCCGTCATGAGGCTCCGCCCCCTGCAGGGTGTCAGTGAAGGCACATTCAATGTCCTCCGACTGGAAACCTACAGACAGACAGACAGACA